TGTACATTGGATTCGTTTGGCTGCACATCTAATTCCAAATTTCATTCAAATTGAATTGAATGATAAATTTGAAAATGTTGGCGTTAAATTTTAATTCTTTTCATTTGTATATACATACATTAATAATAATAATAATAATAATAATAATAATGATAATAATAAACAATAACAAAAACACTCGCTTATTCGACACCATAAAGGGTAAAAGCTTTTAGTAAATAGCGCGCATCTGCTTTTACCCACAAAATGATACTTGAGCTGATTACATAATTAAACAGATGGTGTTACAGTTTATATGTATTTGTGTATGCAATGTTTGCAACAATTTCGAAACTTTTTAAAAAGTAAAAAAAATTTCATAAAAAAATCAACTATTTCTTATTCATATATATATATATATATATATATATGTATTATATGTATTATGATTTCAGTTTTTTTTTTTTTTTTTTTTTTTTTTAAACCAATACTAATCTCGTATAGCATTCAATTTAACGCCGATTACTGATACTTAACAACGCTTCGAATAGAACTAACATGTTTTAAATTATTGTATTTGCACTCTTTTACGTTTGCAACGAAACATAATAGTGCTGATCTGTTTGCCTTCTTCTTGTTTTTTTCTTTTTCTCATGCTTGAATACGTAAGTCACGATTATTTTGACGCGATTTACGTTCCACGCAAACGCATGGCGCTTAAGGTAATGCACAAATCGAAAACAAACACAATACAGCATAACATAGACAAAATATATATACATTTACATACATATCGAATTATATTTTCCTGGCAAGCGGTTTTTAACACTGCATAACTAATATATGGAGATACTAAAGACCAACACCAAGGCATCTAAACGATAAATGCTGTATTAGCGAAGCGACATAACGCGAACAAACAGATATATCGATAAAAATGAAAATCCAAATAACCAAAATAGCAATAAGTAAGTATTTCCTATTTATCATATCCACCATCCATATCCGTCATCTGAAAGGATAACATTATGCGAGATTTACTTTCAATTTTTTTTTTTTTTTTTTTCATTTGTAATATTCAGAAATATGCATCAGACTCTTATAAAGCATATATATATATATATATATTCTTAATTAGCGTACGTTTCTGCATCGATACCAAATACTGACTGTATATTGTCTCTCTGTGTGTGAACATTCGACAGCGATAGCAAAAATGATGATATAAATTAAAATTTGGCATATAACTCTTATTTGATCAGATGATAGATTGAATTCAATAAATTCCCGCAGTCACACTCAATAAATGAAAACGAAATAAAAAAGAAAACTCTAATGTGTAACTCGTAGCCGATATTGTTGTGAACCTCCAGTCACACCTCACAACTGATTAATTTATTCGCTCACATTTAACAAAAACTTTGCTAAAAAAGTTTTTTCTTTATTTTTTCAGCTCGAAATGATAAATCTGAAAGATTCAACGTAAATCTTCTCCCACTCACTTATAGGGAGGGGCCAATTTAGATTTGGAAGCACATTAATTACGATTTTCTTTTGTAACTGTAAGCGAAGCGTATGCATCCGGGATTGTACGCATATATTCTAAATTAACGAATGCTCTTCATATACCGTAAACTTAGCCATTTCGTCCGTCCGTCCGTCCGTCCGTCCTTGCGTTCTTACATGATTCGTCGATTGTTAGTGTTCGCGAGGGGCACAATATTGAAACTCGACATTTGTATGCATAGAAAAATGACGCAAATTATGTTTTCAGATGGGCGTTGACTCCTTAAACCTATTCAAGTCCAATATTGCTAAAGTTGCGTAAACGAGTTTTGCCACATGAGGCTGAACGTTATTATGCGGTGTCATCATGACTTTGGACATATTGCCTCCGGTTTGTTTGTTCGCATAAATTTCGCATAAATTTGTTGGGTCGTTTGTGGCGCATTTGTTTGATTCAAAAACTCTTATAATACACAGCATCCAGCTGAAACCCAACACGGCATTCGCACTAATAGTATAATTTATCCGTTAACGTTGCCAAATTTTTAACAAAATTTCTAACGAACTTTTTCTCATTTACCAACCGTTTCAGATACTGAGAACATTATCTCAAACATTATAATCGATCTTGTTCATTTACAGAGCAATAAATTATTCCTCTCTTTCATTTTTTTTTTTAAATACTATCCGCCATACGGTGATTATAGGTAAGTATTATGCCTTCAACGATCGACAATTTACTGTAGCTGCGCTTATACGCCATCATCGTAACCAGGTGATCAAAACTGCACTTAAAGTGATATATCTATGAAAAGTATATTCTCCAGAGAACATATAAAATCGGTTCAATTCAATTCAAATACAGGTAAGAACTTCATAGGGCAAATAGCGAGACGAAAGATGCAGGATTTTAGGAAATTCTTTATTGTTCTTTCCAATAAAACTCATTAACAGCATTTTGGTTAGAAAGATGCGAATGTGAATGTTAACGCTGAATTCGAAAAGGAATAAACTTTTTACATATTGCGAAAGCAAGTCAACTACGAGTTCACTCGCCTGAGGAACTTGGACTTGCGTGCGACTGCTCTTTGTTTTACGTTTGTATTTAAGATAACAAAAAACACTTCGCACTTGTATAAATAGCGCAAATTCTATTTAGGTTAAGAAACCGAGCTTACGGTTTGACAAGAGGAGAGACAATGAATGCCGAACGCACTCTGTTCAACATATGTTAGACCACTGATAGAGTTGGGTAAGGGAATCACGTCATAGGCCATTGGCGGCTTCCATTTGATTTGGTCAAAATTAAAGAATCACTGAATAGACAGTTATAGCTCTTTGGGAAAAATACTTGGAATAAATTAGAATCTGTTATAAAGGCTACTTGCTGCAGCGAACAATAGCCGATACAAATGCCTCCTTGGAATGTGTCAGCGAATGGAGATATAAACAGTGACGCACTATCAGAAGAGAGAAAAATAGATTCGCCAGTCAGACACAACATTTGGGACCTGTGGGTCCAATCATTCACACTTTTGCTCTCAATGAAAATCCCACGATTTTGTTAGTGATTTAAATTTATCGAAGCCAGGAAAAGAGGGCGAGGTTTTAGCTCGCCACCTTCTTGTTTCGGTAAAGAAATTTTAAAACTGAATCAGGTATTCAGGGACAAGTAGTCTTCTGGTGACTGAGAAAAAAAAATTTTTCTTCTTTTGTAAATCAATGTAAGCAAAGGACGTCAGCCTGCAATTTTTTTATTTTTTTATTTTTTTTTTTTTTACTTTAAATGGATGAAAGCGTTCTTTGGAGCGCCACAAGTTCTCATTCGTGTAATTCGTTTTTCGTATATGAGAATAGAACAATCATGCAATCAATCAAATTAATGCGTAACAATTAGCGTAGATTGACCTCTAAGGCCATCTTTATGTAATGAGGATCAATTGTCATCACATCATCAAATTTTGTGAAAAACTCGCAATTAAATGCTTAGAGATTTTCTTTCCTTGCAATGCGAACGAAGTTTTCTATGACTAAATATTTATGTCAGACAGATGACTCGTTGTAGGATTTCAGCACATTATATATAAAACTCGTATATAAACATGTCTCACTCCTTAAGGGTCTTATCAAGGGAAATAGGGGTAACTCGAAGATATACGCGGTGAAGTAGATTTAAAAAAAAACAACATTTATTACGCAAAAGTGCAGTTATTCGCCCCATTAGAATTAAAGCATATAAATAGCATATATATGATAAAACTTTGAAGATGCATAAACCCAAAAAATGTTAAAATTTCTTTTCTAGAGAAACATCTGATGGCCGTTATCGGTAGTACAATTACTAGCGATTACCTTTTATAGTCGCTTCAATTATGTTATATAATATAATAATAGCTTAACAAACGTCAAAGCTAAAATGGAAAGCATGTATCATATTATTTCACAAGTGCCTGAGATTCTTATTCTTGTATGAAATAATACAATAGTTCCCTTGGTTTTGTTAAAAAGTTTTAAAAAACGTTTTGAAAGTTGAAAGAGAAAAGAGAAATAAAAAAAAAAAAATATGCTTTTTTAAATCATTTATCGAAAAACTTTTTCTTTAAATTGTTGTTGTTCCCATAATTGTTTTTCTACTTCTTGATTAATACGAATTTTTTTCTTTAAATGCATTGCATTTTAAACGTCTTTAAAGTTAAGCCAAGAAGTATGCAAAAGAAACTTCACTTAAATGAAAAACATTAATCAGCAGAATCGATTAACAGAATGTGTAACTTGTTTGTAGTATCAAGCAAGATTTATTATTCTTAAGCTGACGTAGGTGATTAATGGGTTTAAAAAATCAGTTTAAACTTAATTGTAAATTTTAAGTTTTTATTTTTTTTTTTCTAATTTTTTTCTAAAAGAATTTTTTTCAAGTTTCATAAAAAACTTATAACTAAATATTGACTAAAATAAATGCAAATTTCATTATATGATATTTGGAATTCTCAATAGAAAAAAAAAAAAAAGATTAAATAAAAATTAAAATTTATTATTTATAATAAATATAATCAATCAATTGAACAAAGCAGTTGGAACGAAAACTATTATATCGAAAAGGGTGCATGCATTTCTAAGTCAACATAAATTTCACAATTTGTTGAACGCATTGAACAAAAAATAAAAAAAAAACAACAAAAAGAAATAAATAAATAAAAATGAAATGAAGGAAAGCTCTATTAAATATTATATATATATATATATATATATATATATATATAAATAAAATGGAAGAAACTGCTTTATGTTAATTGTTACTATAAGCATTTAAAGACTCATTAACTTGTTATAGTTATTATTATGATTATTATTGATTTAATGAATATGAATTACAAAAAGCCTTTAATAGTTTGCTTGGTTATGTTCTCATAATATTTACTGCGGCGCCAATTAGCGTTTGGTTTGTTAGAGCGCTGCTGCTGTATTTGAACATGCGGTTCATCGACTACGGACGAGTGTATAGAACATAAGCTCACCTCTGGCGTTACTGATGTAAGGGGACGTATTTCGCTTAGCGCTGCCATTGATGGAGCATCAGCGATAGCCGATATTTCTAGCTCAATTTCCGATTCAATTGAAGCATTCTCCAAAAGATTATCAATTTCTTTTCGCTGCACTAACGTTGGTGTAATACTTTCACTACGCAAATTTTCATTTTCATTCATCGCGATAATATTTTGTTCGTCTAATTCTATCGCGTTTATTGTCACTTCTTGCTTATCCGATAATTCATTAAGTGTTTGACTGCTATTATCGGTAAACGTGATTGTTGATTTTTCAGATTTTTCTTTCGAAAGTCGTATTGTTGTCTGAGTTTGCCGATTTTGCGCTGACACATAACTTTGCTCGGAACTTTCAAAGGAAGTATTTAAAGGTGAAGTCAATTCGGGCATTTCATAGACAAATGTAGCGTCATCAGCATCAAATGAATTTTTATCACAACTAACAAACGAAGATGTAGTTCTACCGGAAGCCGTACGATACGAAGACGATGATTGAGAAAAAGGTGTAAAATTACCTTCAGAAGCGGTAACGAATGAATCATCTTCAGTAGAACGTGAATGCCAATCCTAAAAGATATATTTCAAGGCAATTTTGAACTAATAAATCAAATAAATAGCTGTAATAAAAAAAATTTATCTTACCTCGCTACTGTTACTCCTTGGCGTGCCAACTTTCTTGTCGGCGCTTCCATCAGAAGATTCTAATTCCATGCAAAGTGCATTGTCCTGTATATCACGTATAACAGTGTCCAAAGATTCCGCCACTTCAGCAATTTCGGTTAATTTCGCAGATATCGCATTGCAGGCCAAAGAATTATTCGCGATCGGCTTTATAACGACTTTTGAAGCATCCATAGAACTATTTGAAATTGAGCCCGAGCTGCTACAGCCACTACTGCTACTAGCCGATACGCTGTCCACTATAGGGCTAGACGTGCTCATCTCTGAAGGCAAATCTTCAATAACAATACTGAAATTAAACAAAAAAAAAAAAAAAAAAAAAAATTAAAAAATAGTTTTATTCCCAAAAAAAATAAAAAAAAAAATAAAGAAAGCTGAGGTTATGTTATCCTCGTCGTAGACCAAATTTTTTAATAGCTACCATTTTTTTTTTGGGTTGTTGAGTGGAGATGGACAAAGCACAATGAATACTATTCGTTTAGAGTAAAACGACAAAATTCTCTAATAATTTTTGGTTAACTATGAGTTATCTATATATAGTTTATTGTCTTAGTTTCCTTGTCAATACATTTCTCGATAGCAATTTTGTGCTCGAAAGCAAAGATAAGAATGACCATTCATTGTCGAAATAAGTTAATGCCATTCCACTGCTCGTGACAAGTTAGTCGACATCGAAGATTATCATCTCAATATAGACAATTACCCTCGACATTGAAAATGAGAATTTGTCTAGTGTTTTATAATGATATTAAGTAAATGATTTTAACTTTATTTCATATCAAATAAAATATGATAAAAAGCTAAAAGCATAGTTTCCTATATAAGAAAATATATTAAAAATCATTCTAGACTTTGAAAATTTTGAAATTGAATCTGAAAGTTTCATTTTCGATGCGCACATTACTAATTCTTATGATGAGGATGGGGAGTATTTTGGACTGTAAGAATAGTAATATGACAAAAAGCCCATATCTATTTTTTAAAATTTCCAATAGGAGAGCAAACCTTTATCCACAAATCTAATTTTAGTCTTTTATTTTTCACGCACACAGTATGCAAGAAGTAGCTAACTCGTCTCTAGATCTCGTCTGCAATGATCGGATGCCCCTAAATAAATAAGGCCCAATATTTGAGTATGATTTCTAGTGAATACAAGTGCAGGTAACCGTCCTATATCACGGTAAATATGTATTATGCGAGACGTGAGAAGTGCATACAAAAATGAATTCCGAAACCTATTACAAGAATTTTTTTTTTTTAATTCCATATAAGAAACTTTAATTTTGAATTCAACATAGGCTACTTCAGTTTGTTATTGTGTTACCTCATTTAATGTACATTCCTTTTAATAATCCTCCAATTTCCAAATTCTTATTTAACAAAATTTCAATTGAAAAATAAAAAATTATTACTAATTGCTACCGAAGAAATGAAGTTTTACAACACAAAATACAAATGAACGCAAGTTGAGTAGGAAGCAAGTAAGGACAAGGCCGACAATCAGATGCCCTACGCCCTTCTTCCCCCACTTACTCGTTACTTACTCGTTATGCTAATAAGACACCAAAAAATACACATTATTTTCATGCAATGACTTACTTCTCCTGAAAGCGGGCATATTGGAGAATATCGAAAACCTCATCTAACATGATCCATATTTAGTAAAATTAATTTGCTTCCTAAAAATTGTATTACGTTTCAGTTTCCGTTATAAAAAATTGGGAATTAAACTTTCTTTCCATATAAGGGCTTTTTCTTTGCACATCTACTATTTTCATATATAATATTTTGAGGTCTAAAAAATAGTTTTTGTTCAGTCGGTGCTATGAACTAATTGTTATCATCAAATATTAAAAATTAAACCCTGCTCTAACAGCTTTAATGTTCATGAGAAATGAAGTCGGAGGCAAAAAAATACACCTATCTGTTTTAAATTTAGTCCACTTTTCACGTCGAACAAAATTTCATAATAAAACATTAACATTAAGGATTTACATAGCCTGAATATCCTCATATGCGATGGTATCCAAAAGATAGACCTACGTGATCCATCTTTGGTAAGGTTGATTTCTCTCTCAATTTATAATTAGAAATCAGTTTTCATCATTGAACATTGAAAATTAGTCCTTCTTACCCTAAAAAAATTCAGTTTTCATAGGAACGATTATATGAGAGGAGGTTTTAAAAATTGCCCCAGGGTGCTTAAACACAAAAATGCATGGACAGACCTCAGAGGGACACATGGACAGGTTTAAATTGATTCAGAATCATTTTCGGTATAGTAAGAAGTGGGTCTACGTCAATTCGTTCTGGATATTGCATAGGTCCGCATAAACTTAATGAGCCCTATATCGTGAGTGGTATAGTGTGTAAAAATCGATGTCTACATACATACACGCATGCATAGCACTGTCTTGAACATAGTAAAATTGAGAGTATTCCTAAATGTTGTGTGTTTACAGTGCTTAACGTAATTTTCTAAACAAAAATCCCCTTATCGTGTTATGGAAGGGTTATATTACTGGATCTTCGTCGTATGGTGCGATTAAACTCGCAGTGTGTTCACTATCTAAATTTATGTAGAGGCAATGTATAGAGGAAATATGACTTTCAAATCCGCTTTGCGAATTAAGAAAGAAAAACAAATAGGAAAATTAAATTCGGTAAAGACCGAATCTCTTATACCAATCATCGTTATCCTAAAAAAAAACAAAACAAACAAAAGGACATAATTTCCATACTCTATAATATGCAATGGGCGCAGCTGGTTTTCTCTCTTTTCAAAATAAAAGTAGAGGCATGTGGGCGTTGTAGGCGTGTCCTTTGAAAAATTTAGATCAACCGCCAAATTCTTTTGTAAATTTGTAGGCGATATCCTCATTTTCCCTAACGAGAGAATGTTTACCACACACACTACAAAGTTGCGCAAAGCGACAGATGGACGGACGAATAGGCGGACATATTCAGGTGCATTCCAAGTTTGAAACTAGCCAACGATTTGCATACTTAATGGGGCTTTTGAACGTCTACGCCTTATAAAGGTATTGAAAAAACAATTAAACTTTGATACGCTACAATATTAGGTAGGCATGGTCAATTTTTTATATTTTTATACGCAAATGCTACAGCATCGCCCATTGAACATGCCTTCAAATTTTTCTACGTTTTTAGTTTATGAGTACTGGGCATAAAACCAATTTTTCATTCCTTTGCAAAAACATAGGTGTTCTCAGTTTACGTGATGCTGTAGCCCTGTTCTTCGACTGATTCGAACCACTTTCACCATACCAACCTATGTGCAAGAACTTGCAATGTTTCTGCCAAATTTGAAGTCGATAGCTTCATTTTTGCGCCCAGGAAAATGTTTGCAACAGACACTACGCAGATGGACAGACGAACCGGTGGACATTCTTATATTGATTAAGATGCTGATATATACTTTGGTGTATCTCTCTGATGCGTCTCTCTAGGCGTTGCAAACGTTTTGATAATGGGTATTTTGAAAATTAAATTATTGTCGTGAAAAGCACATATTCGATGCAGCAAATAGACATGGAAAGGAAGGCTCCCTAGTCTCGTTGACAACCAAAATTGAAAATACTTGTACAAGTAAATCATAACTTTCTTCAAAGAACAGAGTCTTACAATGGCAAAAAAGGAAATGACAAAGAGATTGGCTGAAAATGGGTAAAAGTAGAACTTTAGTGGATACCTTGGTAATGATATATTTTCGCATTATCAAAAATACAATAAAGTGAATGCATGTGGCAGTAAAGGCGACTGTGGCGAAATTTATGCATGAGCAAATAAGTTTAAGCAAGAACGCTAGTTGAAAAAATTGAATAAAGTATGAAAAGTCTATAGCAGGGACATCTAAAGAGTTATTTGATTAGCGTTCAGGAAGAGAAATTCAAAATTGATGGGAAAATAAGAAATACTAAGCCAGCCATTTAAAAAAGAGATTTATTCAATTAATTGACCCTGGTTAATATATGGTTGGTTGGTTACAAGCTTTTCTTTTTCAAATTATTTTTCCCAAAGTTTTTAAAATTTTTCATATAGATTTTTTTGTTGTTTTTTAAAGCATTTCATCTTCTTTACATTTCTTTCTTCCGTCGCATGACGGAATGATAAATAAAAATGTATTACGAGTCGAAAATACGAATTCGAATGACATCATCAGACTTAACGATAGCTATCGTAACTGTATTTCGACATCTGGTTTCCTTCGATATCGTGAGAGTAAAAAGTCGACCTCACGTGTGAATGTTGAGCGTGGAAGGAAAATCCTTCCCATACTTTACCTACGTAATATTAGAAATTATTTCTCATACCTTCTCTACTTACGGTCCATTGGTAAAGATTAGAATAAATAAAAAAGACATTACACTAACACACACATCCTTTCGAGGCTAATTTTTGTCCAGTTTTTTTTTTTTTTTTCTTTTTTTCAAATAATTTATTATCATAAACAGATAAGTAAACATTACTTAGTATGTAAGCGTGAATAATTTGTTGAGAAGCCTTGAGAAAACTTGTACAGCAACAGTCGCTTTTTACAAAAATTCTACCGAATGTAAGGTATTCCTAAACCAAAACCTAATATGGCTGCTTCACTTGTCAAATCGTTTAACTCCATTTATGGAATTTTATTAAATTTTAATATCAAAGCACTTCGTTGGCTTCTAACTGTACACCACGAAATGACCAAATCGTTTTGGCCACTGAATAATAAACCATTTATTTATTTATAATTTGTCATTTTTCTCAACCTCTCATTTTACGGAGTTAATCGATTTGGCATATGAAGCATCCATATATATCAATAGCATAATGTGATCATCTAGAGTGTATCTGCCTAAAAGAAATACGTGAACGAATGTTATTCTAAATGGATCGCAAATTAAATTTTGTGAGGTTAGAATTTCATCTGACGAGTACAGAAAGTATGTTTTTTTTTGGCCTGAAATTGATGCTATGAAATTAGGACTACATTCACTTGTAGCAGACTGACGATACTTGAGTTTGGTTTAACTTGTGGAGCAATGGTTCTATTACTTGATTAGGTATATTTTTGAATGGGTCTGTGCGTGCGTTACATTTTTTCAATTTCGAACAGTTTAGAAAAATTTTGCTCTTAACTAGATTTCCTTAAAATTGACTAAAACATTAAAACGCACCCTGATTTTGTAGGCAGCTTTAAAGCAACGGAATCGAAACCGTACTTAACATGTTGAGAAGTTTCCAACGCTGCCTCTTCCTCATCAATTTCAGTTTCATTATTATCTTTCAAGTCGTTTAGTTGTTCCATTAAGACGATATCGGAAAGAGAATTATCGGTCTTTCCGCATTTATTTTCATTTTTATGAAAACGAGAAAATAATAAATCTGAAGGGCTTTCAAGGCTTTTCGTCGCATCTTTTACACTGTTATTACAAGTGATAGTTTGAAGTTGATCAACACGCTCTCGATCTCTTAACAAATTCAAGTTAGCTTTAAAGATCTGATTATAATCCGTATCTAAATATTGCTTATCTTGCGTTAATGGCTTTAACCGAAATTCTTGCCGTCTCGCCAAAGCTTCTTCAAGTTTTAAAGAGTCTTCCACATTTTGAATACTTTGAATTTTGCTTAAACGATCTTCCGATGGATCAATATCACAAAAATAAGAATCGGTAGCTAATACCTGCTCGCCGACTGCATCTTGCATCAAATCGGTAGAAAATTTATTATACCTTTTGTTTTCATATTGAGGATTTTGTGTGTCTCGCAATTCTATTTCGAGTTTCACATTGTCTTCTTTAGATAGAACTTTATGATATCTGTACTGGCTTGGCTGAGGCATTTTCACATTTTGATCTCGAACAGAAAGCGCTTCGTTCTCATCGTTTACTAATGACTTTAATAAATTTAATCCTTCTAGTTGTGCTTCACTTTCAATATCATATTTATTCGCAATTGCTTCATTCTCGACTTCCGGCAAAGTTTCTAAAGGAGTTTGACTCCTCCAGAATAAGTTACGAAATCGAGAAAACATAGCAAATTTTTCATAAGTTTTTTCTTACAAGTTTTTTTTCTTGCTATCAATCAATTAACTAATTGACATCTATTTGCCTGACGGGCAGTGAACGGGCTCTTTGCCAAATTTTGAGTTTAGAAGAAACAAGAAACAAGAGCATCTAGTATTCTTTAACTTTTTTTTTTTTGTTTTTGTCCATAAAGACAAAAATACATTCAATATCAAAAATATTGTTAATTCATTCGCAACAGATTACAAAATTAATGTCGTACACATCGCATCGAACACTGTACACTGAACACTGCGTTATATGCGCTCCGTTCCAATTCTTCAATATAGAGATACAAAAACTGTTCTTGCCTCTTCTTCTACTTTTTCTTTTTCTTTTCCTTTTTTTTTTTTTCTTTGTCAATCTTTTTCACTTAATTATTATTATTATTATTGTTGTTGTTGTTGCTCTTATTGTCGCTGATGTTTTTGTATTAAATTTAAGTAGAAACTTTCAAAACAGAATATCTTAGGCATTCAATCGGTTAGCGCGCTCCCGTATAATTTATACATCACTGGATCGTTCATCGTCATAGACTGAAGTGTGTCTACAGTTATTTGTGTTCCTGTAGTCGGCTTTCTTCCTCATTTATATTTTATTTTTTACGTTAATGAGTGCGTTTACGTAGTATTTTAAAAATATTTTCACTTTAGGATTTAAAAAAAAAAAAAAACATATATATATAAAATAATTTTTTTCTCTTTCCTAAATACTGTGTATTCAGGCATCAATGATTTATGTGCGTTTTGTATTTTTCTGGTGACTTGATTTTTTTTTTAGTTTAAATGTTCATCGCATGACGTACCAATAAAGACTTGAGTGGATATCATTAAGGAAACATTTGAAGCGGTACGATATTTGCTACGCATTAAAATATTTAAATTCTATAGGTTAGACTAATTGATAGGGTTTGAGCATCACTGGAGATTGTTTCAAAAAAAACAAATAGTATTTGTGACCTAATCTTTATGTTGTTTTTCCATTTTCCTTTCCTGTTATTTTTTTATTTTTTTTTTTTTAATATAAATCACCTTCAATTTTAACAATGGCTGCCCTTGCGTAGCAACGGAAGAGATGTACACTTTAATCAACCGTAGAATAATCGACTAATAATTATATCCCAATAACAAATGCATAGGCAGAGTACACTGCGATATCGACTGTCACGCCTTACCGGTAAGTATGCTAAAGGATATCACAAGGCGGTTCTGGCAATTTTAAAGGAATCTAACAACTACATAGACAAGATGCGTTCAAAAACAAATGAGAATTTTTCAACGAATTCTGATTGCCGCATTTAGTGATGAGTGATGAGTGTCGTAAATGGGAGGGCTGATTCGTCGCTGGGCTGCCATCAAACAAGTATGACGACGGTAGGGGTTGTTCGATATTATTTGTTGTAAATGATAGCATGTTTTTTGTTGCGCGCGTGTCATACACGTTTGACAGGTTGTGGAGTCATTGAAGGATATATAGGACGCTTGAAAATTAATTAATTTTGATCGAAAACGCAGGTGTACAGTTCGCACAAGAATACGGCAGAGACGTAATAGCATAACAGATGAAGACTCTCGAAAACTTTGCTGACACATACGTTCCCTAATTAGTATGTATTTGTTGTTGTTCCATAGTTCATTCACGGAGCCGAATTGATGTCAAAAACACTCTCACGAACTGCCTCGATGGTTTGTGTTAAAGACGCCCGAAGCGTAAAAAGGATAATAGTATCCTTTCGCTTTCTCTCTCTCTCTCTCTCTCTCTCTCTCTCTCTCTCTCTCTCCCTCTCTTTCTTTCTTTCTTTATTTTTGTCTTTGTTTCTCACGCGCTCTTCCTCTCTATACCTTCCTAATATAGTAAGCCGCCAATAGGCGTCTCCCTTTGCCAGATTATATTCATGACCAGCTTGGAATTATGAATCAAATTAATACTTAATCCTTTTACAAGGATTATGTTCAAGTTTCGCAACTTAGACATGCCCCTAGCCGTACGTCTTATCATCGGTATTGTACACTATGCGGGTCGACGCAACTAATTTATCAAATTTTCTTTAAATTACTCGCTAGAATGGCTTTTGTTTAGTGGCGAAATATATGTATCTTATGAAAAGATCATACATTTTAGTTATGGCACTTGATAGCCTAACCCTTGGTATCTATTAGTGACCTTGTCTACGTGGAAGTCACAAGCCATCTATATTATAAATGTTTTGCGGTCGTGTGTCTCACTACGAAATAATTCAAAGAAATTTCGTTTCGTCAGTCAGAAATTTCTTCAACGATTGAAAACTTGAAAAAGGAAGTATATCTGTCTAATTCATTCATAATGTCCCTTACGATACCATTTATAAATTGTATTTAATATTATAACAAATTTTTTTAATATTTCTTCGAATGTTACACGAATGACATTTAATTTACTAACAATTTATCAATTTGATTATTTTTACAGCCTACGCACACATTTTGAACTCTCTGTTAATGTGCACACAAGCACCTCACACTTAACGCTAATATATGGCGTTAATAAATTGTGTACAAAAAAAAAAAAATAAATAAGAAGAAACTTAACCTAATGAAATGAATGCAAAAAAAAAAAAAACAAAATGCTTAAGAAAAACAAGTAAGAAAGCTGGCATTCGCCTTAGGGTGAATTTTGATGTCCGCTATCGCAAGTGAATATATATGTAAAGTTTCTTTTGGTTACTTTTTGCGCACTTCGTGCGTGTAAGCAGACGAATGGGAACAATGCCTTTGTACATTAATACGGTTAGATAGATAGATAGATAGATAGATACGTATGTTTATTGAGGAAAATATGTCAACATTTTCAGTTTTGTTAAAGTGCCTTCAAATTCTCAAAAACATGATGTTTTTGAATAATTGAATGAAATATTGCTAAAAATGTCTAATAATGTCTAGTGTCAGTTTTGAAAATTTGAAGAATTCTGAAAAGAGAGATAGAAAAAGACACACAAATGAGCAGTCATATAGCGAATGGGGGCAACGAACCGACAAACCTATACGGCGTATGGATGAATGGACAGAGATGTTGCGGAAAGACAGATCGATATGTAGGCAACCAAGTCCGAAAAAGTGAGAAACGGATGGGCAGAGAAGCGAGCAGACAGGATGGTGGGGCGAACGGACGGACGGACGGACAGACAGTTATAGAAATAATCGAAAAAGTAATAAAAAAAAATAGTTAAGAGGAGGAACAAATAAGCATAGATAGATAGATAGATAGACAACATATAGACAATAGATGGACATATATATCGAGAGATACAAATATGCATGGACCACGACAAACAGGCAGACATATAAAGAAATAAATGGAAGCACGGAGAAAAGTTCGAATTTATTAGTGATACTAGAAATACTTTCGCATGCATATAGTGAACGGCGGTTTGGTGCTGTACAAGACAAGCAATTAAATTATTGTGCTGCCACGTTAGTGTAGAGCGCGTATAAATAAATAAATAAATAAATAAATAAATAAATAAATAAATAAGAAATTCATAAGAAAATAAGTACTTAATATGTAAATTTCCTTTGATGTAGATGATTGAATGTGCAGAACGCAAGATAAACAAGCTTCGAACAGCAAATTAATTGCGTTGTACAAAGATATAGCCTCGGATAGACGTCATCAGTAAGCGGCATAGTGAATTTATGCAAATTTCCATAAAACACTGAACAAGCGAGACATGAAATGTTGCTATAAAAACGTGTTTAGAACACAACGTGTCTACGTGATTTGTATATGTCTGTCTGCTTATCGTCTCTGTAAAGTCCATAATACAATAGTTGCATAAAACTTGTATACTTTTAATTTGCTTTAATTTATGTTAATTAAACTTCAAACAATACAAACATTTCAAATCGTTAATGAAATCAAATCACAGTTCAATGACTTTGAATGCGTATGAAGTTAAAAGTGTTAATATAACTTTCATATCAATGAAAAAGCAAAACAAGAAGACGAAGATGATGTCAATTAATATTTACTAACCTTTTCCCAGTTGTGGCATCCAAGATGAATGGTTCTTTAAGACGTGTTTTCAGCAATCTACCTAAACGTACCATACGACCTACTTCCAACAAAAGTTGTTCGCGTTCTATCAGATGCTTGCGCAATTGATCGCGTTGTTCGTTTAACATTTTCGAATGATCAGGCAAAACATCTGCACTAGCTGCACACGGGCCAGCGTTACATTGACTTGACGATAGGGATGGCGTTGTTAATGCCGGCATAATACCATCAAAAGACGGCTGAGAATCTGTTTCACTGCTAATGCCGCTGCTACTACTGCGTTGTTGATGCTGATGCTGATGCTGATGCTGATGCTGATGTTGCTCAGTGTGCCGTTGCTGTCTAATTTGTGTAGGATGTTGTTCTTTATGTTGTTGTTGTTGTTGTTGTTGTTGTTGTTGTAATTGTTCTTGTTGTTTGTTGAAAAATCGCAATAGCGAACGTTTCAATTCCATTAGCTGCTGACAATAGTCCTCAACGCTACGATGAAACACTGCCGAAACGCGTAAACGGGTCATATGCTCTTGACTTATAGACTGTAAGCTATGCCAAGTGTGCTGCAGTTCTTCTTGCATTTGTAAAGCATCCGATAAGCTCAACTTACAGGTTCCCCGTAACGCCTGAGACGCTTCCAAAAGCTGACAACCATAATTGTAGATGCTCTGTTGAAGATAAAATTATTACATTAGTATTCCCTGGTATGGTGTTTGCGCAAAGGGAAAAATTATTTTCAATTTTCTGTTAAATTTTCTTTGTAAACAAATCTTTTCTCTTTTGTTATATTTTTCCATAGAAATTTGAGTTGTTTTACGTTTCATGTTTGCTGAACGTTGAATTACATTTCTGTTTCTTTTGTTTTGCTTGTGCATTTAGCATTGACGTGGTGACTGGCTGTGTGTAAAATGCAAAAAATCATTGCTGATCTAATTGCAAATTGTTGGTCAAACAATTAGAAAAACCTTTCACTTTACGAGTTAATAACAATTTGTATTTTTCATATTTAAAAGATAAAATTAACTTTCAATGTAAAATAAAAACTGAACAGAAATTGAATTGCGTCGGCAAACAACATTCTACTCAAACTTACAAATTTGCTTAAATTAATTAATTTGTTTACGATCCAAGCTTAAAAACAATAATAAATTTTCGAGTCTCATTAACCGTTAAGTTGTGTTTGTGTTTGAAGAATAACTAATGCGAATCATCCGCGTCTGCTGCCTTCACAAAATACTTTAAACCAATTACTTCAAAATATCAGGAATTTCTCCTCAAAAAATTGTGCCACATTTCCATTACATGCTTTACAGCCTTCTAAGCACTTTCTTTCGTTCATTGACCTAAGCTGTTTTAATTACGTCAAATTCACCGCTTACTCCCCCCAGCAGTTCGCAAATTATGGAGATTATCCCAACTTCTCCCTACTCCCTGCTTAGCTATTAGCATAGGTCGTTGTTTTTCCCATCACTCGTTAATACTTTGCTCAATTCAGTAATGGTCCAAGGTCTCTAGATTTCATTAGAGATACTCAGATAGAAAATCGATCGAGTCAATTTTTTTGGATCAGTTCAGTATGGGACATCATCCAATGTTGGTGTTTTTGCAGGCAGAATTCTCTTAATAATTTCAAAATATTTCGGAGAACAAAGTTAGCTTGAGCTCTCTTTTGACTGTTACTCCCGACAATTTGGCAATAGCACTCAATCAAGTCCTAGGATTAGGGAGATTTTTTGCAATTTTGTCATTTATAGACACTAATAATATTATTTTGATCCGTTTTCAAGATGCTCGGTGGTTATTATACCATCCGCATCCCAAATAACGGACTCCCGAAATTTGTCTCCCTGGTCGCCTTGGACGGCTTTCGCCGATTGCTGTTCCCTTAGGCTCGACTATCGATTCGGTTTTGAATCTAGATTTTGATGCATCTAAGTGTCGCATGATATAAAATTTTTTTTTTATATCGCCTAACTAGCTATAACATGTTGATTTTCTTAATCAAAATTGGACAAACATGGTATTCATTTCGAACAAGGCTTTCGTCATGGAAAAATGTTCATCAAAAATTCTGATGTTGGATATGTTAAATTGTTGGATATCCCACGCAACAATTGCTAAATATGGACGCTTGGTGTTTATACCGATTATATCGAGGGTGCAGACTCTAAATTACACTTGTCAAGCTATTGAAAGGTCTTTTTCCCCATTAAAAATCGACGCTTTACCAACACATAAAATTCCGATTTTTCTCGTGTCAGTAAATCAATTGTATTTTGTAAATTAATTATCGGAATATATAATGAAATTGTAGCAAATTTCATTTGAACATTTATAGTATCTAAAAATCAGATATAGAGATGCGTCAATAGTTGTGACATCTACATATCACACGAAGACCTGAGGGAGTGATGTCTTGTTTAACTGATAAAAATAACATTGTACAGTGCAATAGCATTTTGTTCTAAAATTTACTTATGTTCATGAGGCAATGTCATCAAATTTCCGGCGCATACACCAGTCCGGCAAATCTGTTTCAAAATCACTTCTTGTCAAAACACGACAACCTTTCGAAACACTGCTCTGAACGCAATAAATACTTGAAATAAGCGAACTCGGAAACACCTTGTATGAAATAGGAGCGAATAAGAGTTCGATCGTCAACAGAGTTACTTTTTTCGTGATAGTAGGTTTTTTTTGTCTATTAGTCAATAAGAGATCCTCTAGATTTTCATAAGTAGACTTTCATGCTTTTTCATTAAATCATCACAAAAGCATAGAAGCGGAGGATTTAGTTCACATCCTTCTTAGAATCCTTTTCGTAATTTTGTAAGTGTCCTTACATAATTGTTTCAAATATAGCAAAAAAAAAAAAAAAAAAAAAATGCAATTATAACTCATTGCCAGAAAGTCCTGTATGTAATGTTCACTTTAACCAAAACAAATAACTACTACCCAACATATAGTGCGTAGTTCGTGGGCTTCCTGCAGATAATTATGGCTATGGCGTGTCATCATGGCCGGTATTCTGGGCATAAACTCGACCCCTCGCCAGATGTTACTAAATTTATTTAGTCAAAGTAGGTAAATAAGTAAGTAAGTAAGTCTGTAACCTCCCTTAACGCTTATTTCCGTATGACGAGAAACTCCCTCTCAAACCTTCAGTGACTCACTTTCCTCTCCAAATTCCAAATTGATAACCACCATTATCAAACGACAGTAAACGCAGGAAAAAATTTTAATAATAACCCGCAACTGCGAACACTTTTCTATCAACAACAAAACGAAAAAATAAAACTTTTTGCCGCCAAAATTAAAACCGACATATGAAGAGCATAACGTCATTAAAAGCAAAAAAAAAATAAAAATAAAAATAAAAATAAATAAATAAAATATACACCGGCATGTTATGGTTGATCAGTTGCTCAAATCGATGTCCTGCCCTGTTGTGAAGTAACCACCACGTGTCTTCACTTAATTGCAAGAACAAGCATATTAGAATCTATTGATATAGGATCGTTAAGGGAACAATTCGATGTTATAATTATTAAATGTGTCTCAACTCATTCGATAATTACAAGTGTTCGCATAAATTTAATATACTTTTTCATCGCTAATAACGCTAATAATCGTACAAGAACTGCACTAAAACAATTGATTGCAGTTTTAAGATAACCAACCAACGGAAAGTTGTAAACATACATATGTATATATATATATATATATATATATATATCACATAAACTTGTAGAGATGGAATAGATACGCAACTAACCAAACTAAATAAATTTTACAGCTGACCGAACGACCATTTGTCCATTGGATATAAACAACTTGTCAAACAACAACAACAATGTTAACATTGGGGAGGTCTCCCTACTTCTGCCACTCATTCATTCGTTTATTCCTTTGTTCGTTCGTTCATTCAGGTGTAACCAGAATAACTGCATTGCTAAGCTATGTGCTGTTGAGGTATTACCACAACGACAATACAATGCAGCAGAACTCACCTTTCCAGTCTTTTGAAATGTTTGCAATTCATCCTTCTGCACCTGTATCTCATATATGTTACAGCCTACATGCGTGTGACACCTGATCATGACATTGTACAAATCATCTAACCATTTAATGGCCATACGCGAATCTTCCTCGTATGCCTGAATGTGTGTCACCTGTTCCAAGGTAAGTTTTTGCAATTCCACGCTATCGCTAAAGATTTTACGGCGCGCCAAGGTAGTCTCAAGAATTTCGCGTACATTACAGATATCATCACTGTAATCAATGTGTAGGTCACGGCCAAGTGCATCCTTAACAGGCATCGATAACATATCGCTAAGTTTTTCGCCCTCTTTAATCAGTTCACGTTCAATGCTGACTGGACGCAAGAAGAAAAATTAATTTTTTTTTTAAATTTTTCAAAAATTTTTGACATATCTATATAGCAAATCACCTAAGCTTTGTTGACTATCTTTTAGTTTTTTTAAACTGGCAGCAGCTTTGGTAAAATCTTCCATTTTGTTGTCCATGACTAGTGACTCAAAAACTTGGGTGGTCCGTTCAAAATACTCATTAACTAAACGATAAAATCTTAACGATGTTATTAAGATATTACGTCTCCTCTCAAGGCGGCTAGCGAATGAACGACAAACGAATTGCATAAAATCTCTTTGAGATATTAAATCACGATATGCCAAACCGTCCTTGCAACCATTGTATGTATCTATTTTATATAAAAGTTCTCCATAAAAGCCATACGTTTCGCGGCACTCCATCTCAAGGACATTATGTGCCGTTCTTAATTGCTCGCAAGCCTTCACATCACAGCCAATAGTATGCTGGCGATTAAGAAGCTGTTCGGCTGTATTTAATATCCAATTAGTGACAAAAGCCACACCTTCCTCCAGCGAGGACAATTCACGTCCCTCTCGAACAATTTGCATCAATTCCAGCCATAAATTGCGCAATTCGGTTTGTCGTCTCTCAATATCGTTTAAACGCAATTCAATGCGTGAACGTTCACAATTCAAATCAAGTGGCAAGTTACGCTTCATTAAAGCACGTGCTTGTGTAGACGCCGTTAAATTCGTTGCTAACTCGTTGCTAGTTAACTGTGTTATGGCGGTGGGAGCTATTATTGCTGATGTCAGTGGCGGTGTTGGTGCATAAATTTCATTAAAACGTGTTAAGATACGATTACCTGAAATTAAGTTGAAAAAATTTCTAATTTATGTTTTCAATATCTTTTTGATTCATCGCTTTCAAAAAAAATCTCTCCAAAGATGTGAGTGAATTACAGAAAACTTGTTTAGCGAAAAAGAAAACAAAACAATTTATAGTTAATTATTGACGTGAAGTTAGCCCACTGTGCGTATTCCACATTTTTGTCTTTGCTAAAATGTACGCTATCTTCGCAAATACAAGCATATATCATAAACGAAATCATATTCGATGTTATAAAAGTATTCAAACAAAAAAACGTATTCCTATTAATTGTGAATGATATGAAAGACACCCATTGGCCGTCATACATCCACATACGTCTTTGACAACTGAATTGTATTAATTCTGTTAAATTTTCCATGATGAAGAGGGCAATCAAATTCGAATTCTTCTTCTGATAGTTGCCGGTGTCTTTTAAGATATATCATAAAACGCGAATTGTATTGATTCTCTAAACTATTTTGTAATTAATTAAGGTTCTTACGTATACGGTGGAGGTATATAATGGGGATTTTCGTGGCGATGAAGTCAGTGTCCTTTAAAGCAAAGTTACATCTCTGAAAATCGTTGCAACACGATTTGTACATTGCAAACTTACTCTTTACGTTCTGTGATCATAAATTAAGATTTGGTTTATATCGTTTCATACACTCCTACTCCTCCGTACTAATTCTTAATTTGAGCATTTATTTTATTGGTTTGTTTTTACTTCGCGGTTAATCGTAACGTGGTGAAGACATTTTTAGCAAAGACACGAACGTGACAAAATTGTGGGCTGCCTTGGTAGGCTATCTTCGCTTCGATAATTAATTACATTTTTTACTTTGCAGAGAGAAATTTCATGTGCCAGTTGCATATGAATCTATCGACTGGGGTAGAAAATTGCATTTCCAAATGATTTTCTCGCCTGTTTAATAAAAATCTGAAAAACCTGTTATGATGAACATATGTTATACGAAACATTCACGAACAAATTTAACGCAGAATGAAGCCATAAAAACCGCATTTGGTCGATATGCCTTCATTTTTAAACTCGCACAATGCATTTGCAACGCATTTGCACATAAATATATGCGTGTGGTTTACCTTTAAAGTGTTGACAACAACATTAACGTAACATATAATGGCAATCGTATATCCACTCCTGTGTATAAGAAATTATTATTGTGAGGAAAGGTGCCTCACTCTCAGCATTTACTGACAAGATTAAGTGTAAGGAGAATTTCTAATTTTCAATATTCAACATTTCAAGCCCTCAATTCGGATTAATAAGTTCTACTTTCTTCTTAGGCAAGTCTCGGTTTTCTTTTTTCGTTTTTTTTTTTTTTTTTTTTTTTAACTAGAAACTTTGGTGAACAGCGCAACTATGGTCTAGACTTAAATATGTGACTCTCGAATCAAAAGTAAATCCTCTTTAGAATTTTAGGCCATTGAATCCGCTCACATTGTCTATCTTTTATAATTCATTTCCAACGTAGATCATAAAATCTTCTTTTAAGACGTTTCTCTTTAACTATTTTTTTTTTTTCTTTTTTTGATCCCTTTTTGTAATGTTTTGTTTCTTTTCTTTTTTTTTTTTTTTTTTGATGTATCATATTTATATATTAATATGTTTTATAAATTTGTTTATGTATATGTAATATTCAGAAATTTGATCATCTAATATATGTTTATCGGGCTAAGGAAAGATTTCTATTGTAATTTAAATTGGAACAAATAAATAAAACTGTCAACGTGCGTGCATTACTCTCAATCAGGTAGTGTAACAATGAAGAAGAATTTAAGCAACAAAGCAATAAAAAAATCGATTAAGATATATTCCCACCGCTGTCTAATAATTACGTTTTAAAATTAATGAAAAATTCTTAAAAACAACTTGAAAATGTGTAGACGTGCAAGACCGATCTTTAGGTACCCTACACCACTTCCCTTAATACAATTATTCACTTGATTTCGGTGACAAGACATCAAAAATTACTTGAAGCCGGAAGTGCACAAGGCGTATTAATTCACGTCAGATTTGACGAACACAAGAACTTTGTACATATGATCGTTGTGCGGAAGAGCGTATGCCATTTTTCGAGGAGATTGGTATTGAAGACCTGAACTAAGAAAATGTAGATACTTAACAAAATGATCGTGAAAATCCATGTCAAAGTCACTCATGATTACTAACTAAACACGAAATTAATGAAAACAAGTAAGAACATTATAGTCGGGCAAGGACGACCTTTAAATTCCTTACGTCACTTGGCCTCATATGGTTATCTACTCGTTTTAGTAATGAGATACCAAAAATGACATAGCATTCCCATGCAAGGGCATACTTTTCATGAAAGTCCGCATACTGAAGAGTACTCAAAAGATGGCACAGCGTGACCCAAATTTAGCAGATTTAATTTACTTCCAGCGGTTTCCGTCATAAAAAACAAGAAATTAGACTTTCTCACCATATAAAGGCGTGCTTTCTATGACAACCCACGATATGCTGGGGTCTAAAAAATAGACCTATATAACCCAAATTCCCTAACGTTAATTTTTTTGCTGAATAACTACTAAGGAGCAATTTGCATTGCAAAATATTACAAATTTAAGCCTTTTTAGAACAAATCTTATATGGACTGACGTCTAAGAAATAGACTCATGTGTTTCAAATTAGGTTCACTTAATTTTTATGTCAAATTACCATCATGAACAAAATTGCATTATAAAACGTTAACAAATAGGCCTTTTGGCATATAAGGGTTTACATATCCTCAGAATCCCTATATGCTATGGTATCCAAAAAATAGACCCACGTAGTCTGACTTTAGTAAGGTTGATTTGTTCGTCAATTCACTGTTATGAATCAATTTTCACCATGGAGTATCAAAAATGAGAATCTCTTACCGTACAAAAAATTCAGTTTTCATCCGAGAGAGGGTTCAAACAATTGTCCCAGCTGAACCAAAATATTATTACGCAGCGAGTTTTTTATCGAGAAATGTTGAAAATTGTAATTTTTTTGAAGGGAAATGATCGAACGAGTAGACTTTTCCAGAGAGTTGGTTCGTGGGTCAAAGCAAGTGCCAACTGTCATAAAAATATGTCAAAAATTGCGACATGCACTTTGCACGCAAAAGTACGTGGGCAGACATCAAACGGATAGACAAAGACAAGTGGACAGATGGAGAGATGGACATACAAGCTTGGGCCAATGCAGGTAAACGAATCGATACAATAAAAGTCGTTCTGCGTATTACATACTTTAGGTTACATACGGCCGCACAAACTTATTATACCCTGTAGCACCAAAAGTGTAAGCTATAACTGTAAAAGTAAAGCTCCCGTTTATGTTTTGCACATACTCTTACAAAAATTGAAAACCGAAGAAATCTATGCGTCAAGAATATGTAACATGAATGCGATTGATATTAAAAGTTCTAGTGAACGACTCGATGATAATAAAACAAAAAAAAAAATTATTAATAACGAGAACAAAATTCTTCGTTTCAATAAATTGAAGCTTAGCTAAGTACTAAACCCTTCAAGACACTGAATTGCAATAATTGACGGACTTCACATTGCAAGCAAATAGTTTACGTAAATTAATACAATGCCAGCAAGAATGATCACATGTATATATTTATATACGTATATAGATACATTTCAGTGTATGGGTTTGTGTGTGTGTGTGTACATGTTTGTTATTTGTTTCTATTATAGGAGCAAACGTGTTTCTTTTTCGAATTCATTTATTTAAGTATTTTTTCTTTCAACATGTAACTGTTCAAACAAGTCAATGAAAATTACGTTAAAGCCGGCAAGAGATATTGACGTTGTTTGCAGCGGACTGAAAATGAAAAAGGTTTGCTTTTTGCAAGTCAAGGTAAATATGCACATAAATAAGTACTTACATGCGTCAATAATTTGTTGATATTTTTGTTTTCTTTTATTTTCCTTATCTTTGAGAGAAACAAAAGACTTAAACAAAAAACTTGCATGAAAAAATTATATTCTTTTACTAAATAAATTAAAAAATTTTATTCAAGAAAATTAATCATCTTATTTATATATATATATACGCGTGTAAAAAATATCAGAGGTTGCCTTGAGATTTTTATTTATGAAAACAAAAAAAAAGAAAAAGCGCACACGCGGTTCGACAGATCACTTCTTACTGACTTAAATATAGTGTACAAACAAATAGGAAAATTATAAACGCCTTGAAGCGAATTTTGGATTTTATAAAGTGCTCTTAATAGGCCGATCACTAAACTAAACTATACTTGACTTTGCTTTAGTGATTGTCACCGATCAAATTTATTGTCGAGATCCATTCTATTTTCTTGGTAATTGTGAAAGAGATTTCAAACTAAACTAATATGCATATTACACATCGATGAATTTCTTGCGATTTTGAAGTTAGGTGAAAGATGTTACGACAAGGGAATGCAGGAAGTATAAAAAATTAACCAACGAAATACATTAACTAAGTTTTCTAAATAAGTTCTCCAAGTGATTGCTTTACAAAATCGATCTGTCACCGGAAACACATAACTTAGATATTGGAGCTTGTATGGAGTATGGTTTTCAGTTTCAGTTGTTTACAACCTGTCGTTCGCTATATACCATGTACGTATATAAATATATGTTATAGTTATGTTGGCGTAATAAAATTAGTGCAGATCAATTTTTCAATGTTGTGTACAAAAAACAAAAAAAAAAAACAAAATTATTTATTAAGAAATTTTAAATTAGTTTTTTTTTTTTTTTTTTTTTTTTAAAAATTTAAAATTTTTTATAAAAAAAAAAAAAAAAAAAAAAAAAAATTTTTTATTAAGAAATTTTAAATTATTTTTTTTTTTTTTTTTTTTTGATAAAAATCATAACTTTGTACTTACAAACCTCTTACTCACCCAAATCCATAGTTGCTTCGATGCTGTTGTGCACGCTTGCTTGCACTTGTGCACATTTTTTTAATTCGGCGTCCGCTTCGGTAGGTCTCAGCGTTGATTTATTACTTTGTAGTAACAATTGCAAATTTTCCATAGCTGTTAATGTATTATTATAGCATTTTTCAAACTCATCTATGATCTAAAATAATTATAAAGTTTATGTAATAATTAGCATTAATTTCGATGTTTTATTTAAACTTGCCTTACGTTGTTGTAGCCATAAGTCGTAATTGAATTGAAGCGAACCACCTAATTCTTCAGGTAAACTATGCGCATCGAAAAATTTTGTTAAACGTGCTTTCGATAAAATAATGGGCTGTCAAATAAAATTGTTGTAATTTCAGTTTTCGTTTACACGTAAATGAAAAGTCGTCACCTCTTCCTTGGTATAAGACTTTGTGCAGGTTTCTACATGTTTCTCCCAGAAGCCTTCCGACTTGACTAGATACAAAGTAATGTTTAGACCGCGAAATAAGCCATAAATAAAACGTGCATGCTGCCGCGATATGCGGGCGGTATCTTTCTGAGCATCTACTATAATCGTAAGTCCTTTTTGTAAAATTAAATCGCTGAAAGGTAAAATTATATACGTATGTGTTATCAAAATGGTGAAACAAAAATTTATTCTTAAAAAAATGTAACGATTTGTAAAATAAACTCTATATAAACTCTCCTAATACAACATGAAAAGTCTATTTTCAGGCTTTGTCTTCTTCTTGTTTTTCTATCCACTTACTATAGACGAAAGTCTTCGTCTATCATCATCTGTTACTGTAACTTTTCCGATGTAAAGAAATTTTAAAAATAAAGCTTAAATTTGTTATAAAAATTTATTTATTAAATATAAAATTGCTTATCATTTATATCGCAATTCCTGATAACTATCGCACTCATCAGACATTGATCTAGACCTAGGCAAGAGTATTTTCTAAGAAGCATCTTAATACGGCAAATGCATAATTGATTCTCAACCTGTAGGTAATGCGCTTATATTTGGCAGATTACTTTGAAATTTGAAAGTAGTAGACTTTGTCTAGAAGAACAAACTTGCTTTTAAATGAACTTCTCCTTGCTTTTAAATGAAAGTGCACATCGTATGTTAATTAAATTGTCTATAAGATGCTATCAAGTTGTATAAACGTATAATTTAAATTATATAGGATATGAACAATCTAAATTAAGATGTATATCGATTAAGTGAATCTTCACTTTACTTTGCAATCAATTATAAGAGACCAACTATTAATATTGATATTAAAAAAATTTCTCTTAAGCCGAATAATTTCGCGCTTTTTATTTTAAAAGTGTTTACAACTTATTACCATGTGCTTTATTTCTACCACTATTTATATACGTATATAAACATATTTTTAAATGTTACTTTAACCAACAAACTCAACTGGTTCCATAGTGTAGCGGTTATCACGTCTGCTTTACACGCAGAAGGTCTCCGGTTCGATCCCGGATGGAACCATTTGCCTTGGGTTGTGGGAATAATTGATTTTTTTGTTATTTTTTTTTTTTTTAATTTTTAACAGTAAACAGTTTGTAACAAAACCTCGTTAATGCCACACATACAATCGTTTCCTTATCGTTTCGTCAATTGAATTCAGTACTTCTATAGTATATGTGAGTAGATGTTAAGTAAGAATTCCATTAAATCATTTGTAATAATTTTCAAATCTTTATTTCTCAAGGAATTTTTTTCTTCGGATCTTTTTGAGCCGTTTTGTGGTACTGAGCACCGCATATACATGTATCAACTCAAGTTGTGGCCTCAACAAAACGTAAGTATATAATGTTTCAATGTTCTATTCCAATTTTTGAGATCCTCAATATTTTAACAATTTATGACGGAGAGTCAGACAGTCGGTCGGACGTATAAACGAACATAATTGACATAATTGAGTCTTATGCTAGTCGAGAATATATATATATATATATATACTTGAATGTCATAATGTTTGGCGATTTTTCGATTTTTTTAACCAGCGGCCAGATATTTTCATTTCTTGGAACCTGTATCCCTTCTTTATGGCCTAACAACTCTCTTCTGTATATGCTTTAATGCATCTGATCAGAAGTAGAAGTGAAGAACTCACGAGTAATCTAAAAGCAAGGTATAAAAGATCTTGACTAAACAGAGGAAAAAAAAAAAAAATTCAACATTGACGCACACTGTCTTCTCGCCTTAGCGAGAGGGAGAAAAAGAAAGCTTCGATGGTAATTCAATTTCGGTAACGATTCCCACGCAATTTTTAGCTTTTTAAGAATAGATTTAGAAAAAGCATTTTATTCTTTAGTTGCTATCGTTATGATGGGAGCATCAATATTCCTACGCTTACAAAAATGCTCCCCCTTGCAAGGTTTGTTCTGCATTATGACTGCGCATCCTGATAGCTGCATTTTATCACCACCAGCCCAATCATTATATATTTCTTTTCGCCTTCTAAAATTAGATGTAATTGCCAAAGAAAAGCGGAATCGCGTATAGATCAATTCTATTTTAAACTTTGTGTGAGAAAGAAAGAAGAAGAATCTACACATTGAGAGGACAATTTTTGTTGGCAACGTTCGCCTACTTTTATAACTATTAAGTTAATGCTTAGAAAACAGTGGGAATTACTTTCATATTAAATGTTTTTTGCTAAATTTATTCATAAAAGCGGGCACCAAGTGTTTCTATCCAAATAGTATATAAATTTTTTGCCTTCTTCTTATAGCTTTTTGAAGTTCTGTCTAAGCGACACTTCTGTGTACGTCGAAGACAGAATTTGTTCTTAGTTTTATTATCACATTATATATATGTATATATATATATATATATATATATGTGTGTGTGTGTGTGTGTGTGTGTGTGTGGCTGTATATTAATTTATGATTTCTTTTTCTTTTCAAACGCTGATCTTTATAAAGTCACTTAATTATGAAATAACTCCTTAACAATATTGTCGTTTTAATTAGAGCTTATCGTAAATAAACATATGATTACATAAAATGAAATAATAGTTTTTAGCCAATTTAATGTAAATGTAATCTTTTACTAACCTTAGTGAACGCTTCAAATACGTTACGGATAATTCCAAGCATTTACGCTGCCAACTTTGTAAATCATTAACGATATTAACGATGAAGATCACTTTACCATTACGATCGAAACCGCCCGGCAAGTAAACGGTGCGTGTCTGTAGAGCGTTCAAGACATCTTCTTCCATAATGCGAAAGTTTTCCTTCTTTCGCTTTTTTTTTTTTTATTATTTTTATTAAATTAATAAAAACAAGTAATATGCGTTTTTTAACTATGATAGTTCCGATCTTTTACAGCAGTTAGTTGTCTTTTATATAGCAATCACCGAATGCTAAGACTCTTATCAATTTTTGATTATTTCATTCAAGACTGAGAAGATACTTGTAACTCTTTATCAATCCGATATTCTTTCGCCTGTCTGCATTTCTTCAAGGTTAAGCTGCTGCTGCAATCACGAAATTTGAAAGATTTTCGTTAACACTTCATACACTAAAGCAATAGTAGTAGTAGTAATAGTAGTGGTAGTAGTAGTAGTAGTAGTAGTAGTAGTAGTAGTAGTAGTCGTAGTAGTATAGTTGTGCAGCAGATATAAAATCTATTATAAATATTTTGGGATTCTGCGTATCAGTATACTAGAGAATAACGACCTTGACTATCCCATTGCTACGAACACAATTACTAAAGAGAACTAAACATTATTGCATACAGCGTTTATATACAGAGTGTTCTTAACGAACTTCTTGTAGCATATGACTTGATTAGTAAGGCTGCTTGTCCAGCACGTTGGCTCCTTTTGGTAAAATCAGACATTCGGTACCATCCGAAAAGTACGCTACACATTGGTCATGTTTTGGAAATTTCACGTAACCGATAAATTCGAATCATCGATTACACTGCCGTATAAAAATATATATTTTCGTCATTGGTTGCGTTTTTGGTTTCCTAGTACCACGTTATCGTTGGGCAAACATACATATAGTTCAGCAGATAACTTGCTTACTTACAGCTTGTTCCCTTATTAAGATAATTTAAACGCGCGAGTTTTCCGCACAAAATAATCCGTGCCTAAAGTGAACTCGAATTTGAACAGTTGCTCCAAAATCCAATAGTAGTCGTTTGTTAAAAGGTCAAAAGAAAAACTAATTGAATTGAATGTCATGTCAATAAAAAGGGGGGAAAACGGGCTTTACATATCCTATGCTATTAATCGCATTTGATGATGAGTGCGGACGTTTGATTCTAATCAACACTTCATGTTTAGCGTGTAGCTTAAATTCGCTTCAACAAGCAGAATACGTGGTTTTTACAGCGTTTTTCTTCCCCCTTTTTTTTTTTTGCTTCCCGAATCCTTAACAGAAGAAAGTTTCCTAATGCTTTTCAAATATTTTATCTTTTCGTTATTACATTTTAATTACAAATTTTTTTTTAGTTAGTTTTAATTAATTTTTCATTATTATTAGTTTAATTAATTTTTGAGTTTAAATTTTTAAGCATTTAAATTAAGAAGCATATATGATTTTCTATTTTTATTTATTGTTTTTTATTTTTATTTTTTTTTTTGATAGCTATTTCGCGGCACGTAAGTGGCCCGATGCTATCTATTTTCTCAACCTGGCTCGACTGCTGTAATCGCAAATCATAAGAAACCATTCAATTTCCATATAGAAGAATTATAAACAATGCTTGAAACAATCTCTTTTTTCCTGTGGAACATCGTTAATATCTTATGCGAGAGTTAAAGATTTAACTTTTTATGTATAGGAACACGTTTGACAACTTTACCATTTATTTACGCATACATTTCTCTCTCTTTTATGTGTATTTACATAAAACGCAAACAAAAAAAAAATCATTAAATGAATTTCACTATTTTCATATCGCTTTTTCCCCATTCAACATCATCCAAAAGAAATTTTTATTTAAATCACAAGAAAAATGCAAAAGTCTTTAATGCAAGTGCTTAAAAGTCTCTAGTAAGTGGCTGTGCGTTCATTTTTATGGTTAATGCTGACCATGTGACACATATAACCATTTCAGGTTATTCATATATATATATATATATATATATATATATATATAAATTTGAAGATGTTTGCGGATACGTTAATATCGCCAATGCATAATACTTTCATCATTGGACATCCGACACGCCGCAATATATTTGAGAGCGACTAAGCCCTCAGATAATTTGGTTTACGCAAATAGCTGCAATGGCAAAGAATAGTTGATAGTATTCAACATTCACATCCGCTCATAATATTTTTCCTACCTACCTTACACATTCCCTATATAATTCGCAATGTATTGGCGATCGTCCTGAAGAACAAAATCCGTTAAAATTATGATTACGATGTTAAGTTTATTAACTAAAAAAAGACACTTGTTCTGAAAGTTTCTTCATCAGTCTTCTCTATCAAATTAAGTTAGCAAGTTCGAGAAATCCCTCCCATACGTAGCAGATAATTTTCTTTCAATCAATTAAGTCGAATAAAGAGTTTTTTAGAAATTACCATAAAACAATATTTCAATAAGTTGGAATATATGTGAATATTGTTTGTAATTTGTAAAGTCATTCGTAAAGTGATCTCAAATTCTATAACAAACAATGTGAAATACGGTTGATATGCAAAGCGAAAGATTTTTCCTTCATTTTCTAAGGGAATATTATGTCAAAGTTAGCGCACATAATGTATTTCTCATTTTCTATAATTTCTTTGATTATATGCGAATATGTCGCTTAACAATAAATTAATTGTTTTTGTTTTAATTTCTTAAGATTTGTACTCATTTAAAGAATGTGCAGCACTCCCTAGTATTTACTTAAATATACATAATATTCAAGCTTTGGATTTTAACCAATAAAATATTTTAGTTATATTACTATTGTGCCAACATAACATATAACATATTTCTAACACAAAAAAAAAAAAAAAAAAAAAATGCAGTTAATTGTACAAATCTTTCCACATATGAATGTGTAGTTGACTTTATACCAGTTTTACTTTAATTTTACAAGTTGCTGTTTTCTATATACTTGATGATAAAAGTATATTGTTGTTGTTATTGTTGTTGTTATTGTTGTTACTGCTGCTGTTACGGTTAATGTTGCATTGTCGTTTACTATAAACAACTTGCAGCCGACTACTTTGCAACAGCAAGATATATAAAACGAAAAAAGTAGAAAAACAAATCGTCAAGAAAAAGCTCCATAAGAAAGAACTAAAGAGAGACCTACTTTAAATACGTCAGTCGAAACCTAAATAAACTGCCCCCAAACGTTTTAAACTTGTTAGTGGTTTTAAAGAATTGTTGCTTTTTCAATAACTGATAGTAGTTAGTTATAAAAGTTTCTTATGCTTACACTTAAAATAATCAAAAAAATATATTTTTTTTCTTTTTTCTTACTACAAGCATGCGAAGATATGATGTCTATAAATATGTGTGTGCAGTTATATGTACATAGCTAAGAATAAAAATCTAAAAATATCACAGGGACACCTATTAAGATGCGAACTATTTTGTTTTTCTAATAACCCTTAATATTTTTGGTTAATATTAAGTTTGTCATTCCGTTTGTAACACTAGAAATCATCATCATCATAATCCACAAAAACATATTTTAGTTTCGTATATTAGGGGCTAATTAATACTATTTTCATTATTAAGGTCGAATATATTTTTTATTATTTTAAGGTAATATATTTCTCATGCCGAGTCAAATTACCACTATTGCACTCCGGGCCTATCCCTTCATTATGCAGGTCTTCAAATCTCGTACAAATTAAATTTTATCAGAGCCAAATATTTATTTTGTGGAAATAGCTAAACGATTTGATTAGACGGAACCAAGAGCTATGATGAGACACGTAGAACTTTTATACCTTCTATCTAATTAAAATGTATTTTATTCTAACTAAGAGTTTAATTGTGTGGGTTAACATATAATGGTAGCTAAATATTTTTTAGAATCCAAAATGCGTTTTCTAAAAGGACGATATCGGATATCGACAGAAACTTTTTCATAAATCACTAAGAAATTCGCTTCTGTAGTGGATCACGTATATGGTAGGATTTTTTCTATACGAAAGGAAGGACAAAGTCTTGTCGACTTGTCCCCATACTTATAACCTGCATCACTTGTAGTACATATATATTAACTTGGTGCGTATGTATATGACACGCACCAGAATTTGGATTATAAATCTATCTTTTTTGGTTATAGCAATCGATTCAGAAAATGATTCCATTATGTCTGTCTGTTGCTTGCCTGCTCATGTTCACTTTCTTTCAATCAATAGGGCGTGATTTTTGCGAAAGGCCCATGACAAATATTATTGGGAATCAAAGGTAAAAAAGTTTCATTTTTCATAGTTCTCGATAAAATCGAAAAAATCTGTAAAAAAAGAGATATTTTGGAGGACTGAAGAGATTTGAAAAAGTTGGATAAATCGAAACGATTTTTTAAACTTCATTCTTTATAAACAGATAGATATATAATAGAAATGAATTGAGGTCAATTCGTCCTAAATTAAATCATGCTTTTTACCTGGTCACTGCTCGTCATTTGCGCGATATACTTTATAGAATTTGACGTTGTAAAGACTGGGATGTTGATCCTTGGCTACAATAGGTAATACCATTGATGATTGAAATATATTCCGGAGGAATATATTCTGTATAACGCCTTGGTATCTTTTGAAGTTAATGCTCAGAGAACTGTACGTGGAACAAAGCGAACTTTTCTATTGTTTTGATCTAATTTATGCTAAGAAGAGCCATAAATCTTCCTTATTCCCAACGTGTCTGTATGTTTAGTCAACATTCCGACTGCAGCAAGTAAATAAAAACATTGAAGACGGGCGGGACCGACCATTAAATACTCCACACTACTTCGGCTAATACTTTTTTTTTTATTTTCACGATATAATAACAAAAATCATACTTTGTTACCATACAAAGACAGATGTTTTTCGCCGAAGCACGCATAGAAAAACGGGCCCAAAAAGTGACCTGATATATTCTAAATGTGAGAAGACTAACTTTCTTGTGAAAAATATTCATAGTCTTTACCTATTTTCTTCAGAAAATGCTACAAAATCCAACTCTTTGCGGCATAAAAGCTTACTTTCAATGAGGCAGGCTTAGGAAAGCGCACTTATACGGTCGATATGTGGCACAGTGTTTTATGTTATGTCTACGTCACATTAATGTTATCGACCAATTTTCATCATAAAGCAGTAAAGGTTAGATCCTTTCATTCTGTAAGGTCCTACGTTTAATGGAAACAGTTCTATGAGAAGAATTCAAAACATTGGTTTAGTCGACTCAAGATGCTATAACTCAGCAATTTTTGTGGAGAAATTTTGAATACTGCAAATATTTTTCACGTAAGCGCTTTTTCAAACAAAAGAGATTCTATGTGTAGTGGTCGTAAAAATGGTCCAAACTAATCCATTTTCAATATCCAATCGTCCTTGGGCGAAAATATATGTC